GGGGTCACAGGGCCTGGAATGTTTGTAAACCTCAGAGAGCAATCATCACTCATTATCCTACTTCTATATAAGTTGACATTTTCCATAAGAAACAAATACAACAGACACAGCAGCCAAGAGAAGGCTCTGGCTTTCAGGGAGGCAGGAGAGGAGAGGCAGTCTCCCAAGTCAGCAAGGAAACCCTGGGGCTAGGGGCGTAGGCGAGTTCTTCCACTGAAACAGGACTGGCAGCCGGGCAAGCGGAGGCAGGTTTTAGGTGTGGTACGGGATGGAGGCCGTTCCCTCCCAGCGGCTTGCATCTTTCTGTAAGTGGTCCAACATCCGCTGAGGGCCAGGGAGGAAGTGGGGTTGCGTTTGCGAGAGACACTCTATAGCCACTGCGGAGAGCTGGAGACAGGACTGACCCCCAAAGCCATAGTTCATCTCACCTCCCTCAATTCCCAAAGCTCTTTAACACTTGTAAAAGCTGAACCTGTTTTAGAGTGGATGACGCTCTCCAATGACGACGAGCAGCACTGGCTCTTTCTTAGTGATACAGCAAAGAACAGCGTGGCCTCCTGACTGGCCGGGATGCCGCAGTGCTGGGGACGCCGGGCTCATTCCCGCACACGGGCCGGTCACACGTCCTCCTCCTGTGGCTGCCCAGACACCAAGTAACCATCGCGCATAGAAATCCAAGACCTGACTGAGCAGCCCACCTGGATGGGCATCAGTACACGTTACTACAGGTACTAACAGCACAGAGCTGTGTTCAAAATCAGATTCCTGGATCCCACCCTCAGAAATCCACTCCTTAGGTGGGGAGGGCAGGCAGGAACTGACATCTTCCAATAGCCCCCTGCTGCTGGCAGGAAGGCCCTGCCCACTCTCTGTGTGCTTTAGAGCAGTGTGGAGTGGAAGGGGCCAAGCTAGGGAGAAGGTTATAATCCTAGACAAGGGCGAGTTTAATTCACTTTGGAAAGATGAGCAAGAAGCCTGGGACAGGAAAGAACCACACACCCCAATCTTCCCCACTTCCAAAGCCGGGCTGGTGCGGAGTCAGCGGCCTCCATGAGAAGCCGTCGGCAATGAAGACAGGTTTTCCCTGGCATCGTGGCTGCATCCCTTCCCTGAGAAACCGGAACTGTGTGATTGCCAAGATTGTAATTTCCAAAACACCGCGTAAAAATTTGGCAAACTCTATCAGAGTTAAAACTGCACAAACGTTTCCAGAGGTTAATCATTGAGCTAGCTGTGCACAGCTGCACACATAAGGTTACTCAGTAGAGCATTTCTGCAATAGCGACTGCGCCTCCCAAGTACCTACTCAGAGGTGGCTGCAGTGCCTTCCATCAGCAGAATATTTATGCCGTGGTCAAAAACAATGAAAGGGCTGAACTATATACCCATATGGAAAGATATCTAAGATAAGGTTCAAAGAGGGAAATTAGGAAATATATTTAATGCAATCTCACTTGCTGGGAAAAAAGTTAAACACAGACACTGCACACTGCCATTTGCTCAGAAGAATGAAGAGAAGAACCTAGGCACAGCTACTTCTGGAAAACAGGGGCAGGGCTCTGGGTGGCAGAATACATACTTTTTACTTTATATCCTGGTATGCTGTTTCTCTTTTCCCCATGAACAAGTATTATTTTCACAATTAAAAACTCAAGTACACACTAGTTTTTAATTAGGAAAATAACACCTGCTTACGGGAAAAATAGAAATAGTTATGCAAGAAAATAAAGTAGAAAGTATACATGGCTCAGTATACCTTTAAAAACCGTAGACAGTTAAAACACAGTACACATGGCTCATACACATGCTAGTTTTTCATTATTGGTGAGGTACCAAGTACAAATACCTGCTTACTCCACCAATAAGGTAACAATTCAAATTAGGTGACTTATGCATCACACACTCTTGTCACAATGCAGATCCACAGAAATGAAGTTTTTAACATCTACTTGTTTTAGGCTGAAATGATTAAAGTCCTTGAAAACTTAGATCCTGACTTCCTTTGGGCTCCTACGATAAGCCACAGTTGCCTGGGCACTGCATGCGGCTGCCTGACCTCTGGCTGGCTGAAACGACGTGCAGCGGAGCTGTGGACACGCCTGAGCCAGGTCCACGGACAGGAGACCCCACTCGGTTCTCCCAGACACCCTTCCAGAAGACACCCTTGTTGACACCAAAGCTACACAAGGACACACAGGAGCAATTTCCTTTTGTCTTATGACAGTTCCTAAAAGGGACCCCACAGATACCTTCAAGAAAGTTTTCACTTACTTGATCCCACAAAACAGTGTCCTGAGCGCCCTCCAGAATGGTAATTTTTCCAGGCACAGGTGAGGACCTGGGCGCTGTGCCTACCGGCTTGACCTGTTACTGCAGGTTTTCTTCCTAAGACTTCCAGCGTTCTTTCCTTGTCTTTAAAAATCTTCACATTTTTGCAAACTCTAGACTTGAAAAGAAACATGAAATCTTCCAGTATCAAAAACATACAGGATTTCAAAATCTAAATCAGCCCAAAGAAGCTGTGAAGCCATCAAGCGCACGGAACACACACAAGAGGATGAAGTGGCACATTCTGTGACATAAGGAAAATAACCAGTTTAATAATTACAACAGTGTAGCATCAACATTGTAGTAGTCAACACTAGGACATCGTCTGTGACATTTAAATGAGGAGTTTCTTCACACTCGTCAGCGGGTGCCCTGCGTGTCCCAGAGAGGTGAAGAAATGATTGGCATGAAGGAGTCCACAGGACCACAGCAGGCGTTCAAGGTCCCAGACGCCCAGCGCATGTGGACAAGTACAGACGCCACCGAGTGTGATGGAAGGAGCTTCGGATGCTGCATCCCAACATCGCTGAAAACTCAAAGTGCTTCACATCTACAGGATAAGAAATGGCTTCATCTCCTCATCCAGACAAGGTGAGAGCAAAGGAGTAGCCCTCGGGCAAATCGTGGCCCTTTTAAACGTTTATAGCAAGTTCCCACCCCCTTGGGAGGTCACATGGTGAAACAGATACAGTTATATACAACAGCGTGGGTTTTTAAAAAGAGTTGCTCTCAGACATATTTTTCCTTCTCACTAAAAAGCAGAGGAAGATACTGGATCCACAGAAAGAAAAGGCAATGCAGTAACATGAGGCCCTTGCGGCCACACCGTCCAGGGGAAGGGTTGTTAAAAACACAAGTATTCTTGTGAAATACTTCAATCTGAGCGTTAAGGCAGGTCTGCAGGAGATGGGACAGCAACGCTACCGGCTCCGAGAGGACACGAATGTCACCTCCCAGCAGAGGGGCGGAGAGATCAGAGTTGTTCCTGAGTTAACACCTGCTACAACAGCAAACTTCAACACACTCAGGTTAAATGGTTTCCCACTGCAATGTCTTACGCATCACCAAAAAATAACTTGCAAAACTCAAGCTTACCAAAACAGGAAGTGTTGATCTTTGCTTGTGCCAGCATGGGTGAGTAATACACTAAGTTTAGGAAGCTGGCAATTCTAATGAAAAGTCCAAGTGAGGCCAGATTCTGCAGCATGGGCCAGGTCCATGCTGAGCCCAGACAGACCCTGTGGCCAGAGTCAGGGCAGGAAGCTGGAAGGGACTGCTGGGCACCAGAGACTGTAATTATCAAGGACAAGGAAGAATCGTGAACAGCAACAGAACCCTCTCCCAGGGTGTCCAGCTCAAAGGCATCAGAAGACCAAGGATGCGGGTGCAGTTAAAGGGCAATTTGGCCAATCAATTGAAAAGCATCAAGTTAAATCTGATGCCAAGTGAGTTGTTCTGAGACCAGTAATCCACGGTGCTGCAATTTTGGCTTTTAAAGATAGAACGCTTGTTCTATGGAAAAGTGTATCTCACTTTAAAACCAACCTCTTCATGGGAGGGGAAACCAAAAGCAAAGTCCCTGTGATCACCATGATTTATTGCTGAAACAGAATGAAAACCTGCCCCGGGCTGCACAGACTTTGCAGAGCCAGCCTGGGTCCAGAAGGCCACCATGAGGACAGCACGGGCTTTGCAGAGCCAGCCTGGACCCAGCAAGCAGCCGTGAGGACAGCA